AGCCATGCTTTTGGTTGGAAATGCAATTCTTCTACTTGTTTAAGACCTTATGTTTCAAAGGTGATAGAACCCTCATTCACAGAACAATTCTTCACAAGCAAGGAATTGGATTATATAGACACAGGCCTCATCTAATTTCCATCTATCGTGGAAATCAGTTACCTGCTGTTACCGGCAGTTTTCACCGAGTAATGGATAAGCAGTTATCATTTGCTACATGTTATCCACATATCCTTGCTTATAGGAAGCCGTTTTTCCACGTATGCAACTTACATAAGATTGTATTGTTACCAAACACATTTCATCGTTCACTAAATGATAGTTTAGTCCAATTAAGTTTCTAACATCCCGCACCAAAATATTACAAATGAGAACTATCCTCAATGCGAATGAGTTTTACACTTTGCAAAAGACGTGAATACTAATATGATAATTAGTTAGTTTTTATTATTTATGTGGATAAATAATATTTTAATATTATTTTTAATTATTTTAAATATTTGTGTGGATAAATTTAACTACCACGTCATCATTTAACATAAAACTTAACGGAATATTTAATGACGGTATGATATTGAAATGAAATGATAGGTAATGTATGAAATTGAAATGTTTTAAAGATGTTGTATGAGACTACAATTCAACTCAAACCTAAGGGTGCAAACTGTAATTTATCCTTTGTTTTATATGTTTTCTTTAATAAAAAATAATGCTAGGAAGATTAAAATTTTAAACTAAATTTGTAAATCAAATGATATATCACCAATCGAAAATAAGCACGTTAATTAACGTTTATGTAATAGTCTAATCATCAACAACCACATAATTTGGTTAAAAAATTTAGTCTTCCTAATATTACCCAATAAAATCGATATATTTGTAAAATATTACCCCTTAAAAATGATTGGATAAAAAGAAGGGAAATTTAATGAAAATGATTTGGGTTAAGTTTATTTTAACAAAAAATCATCCTATAATTTTATTTAATGAAAAAGACATAAAATTTAGTAAAAAAGACAAAAGTTTAATATAATAAAAAAATGAAATAGAAACAATAGAAAAAAAACTGACTGGTGCTTGCATAACACACTATTTTTTAAACCAAACAACACTATACTATTTTTGAAACTAAACTGTATTACATTATTTCTGAAATTGAATACTATTTAACATGGACACTATTTCTAAAACTAAACACAGGTTGACATGCATTGACTATTTCTTAAATTGAATTCTTAAAATTTGTCGACACTTTCGCACCTTCTGAACACTTTTTCTTCTTCTAATTTTCTTCGATTTTCATCCTATTATATTGAATCACAAATCTGAAAAAAATGCCTTAATGTCGTAAAGAGATACGAAAAATATAAAGATGTAAGCGCCGACACGCACAGTAACAACAAGGCCACGTTCTACCATTACAAACCTATAATACATAGAGAAAACTCAATAATTACATTTAGTGACTAAGATAAATGTCGAAGTTCGTCAGGTTCCTAGGGGAGTTCTGTCGAAGTTCGTCAGGTTCCTCGATTCTCATCTTTTTTCTTTGGTTTGTGATTCTTATTGGGATTTATTTTCTGGGTTTGTTTTTAATAGAAGCAGGCTTCCAATTGCTATAAATGGGGAGTGGAAGATTTTGGTTTTTGTGTGTGTTTATTTACTTATGAGATTAAAGGGTCTCATTGTTGACGGCCGCGTAAGAGCTTTCAGTCCCTTGCATGTGCTGCAGCTTAGGTGCCGAGTCCGAAGCAACAAAGGTACGCTGCACGCGTCTTTGCTGCAGCTTACAAGATGACTTTTGGTTAAAGTTTAAAGTTTAGAAATTTTTTTATTAGTTTCTCTAAAAAAGAAATTAAGCGAGTTGATTATATGTAAGTTATAAAATTGACTTGCAAATTTCTCCGTTTAGCTATTTCCAGACTTGATGTAATTTCTTCGAATATCGAACTGACATATTTTATTAAATCATTCGAGTTATTGAAGAGCAACTTACTATCTTTATCGCAATGCATTGTAGGAAACTACTAAACCATGCCTCCAGACTCCAGTACAATGTTACTCATTAAAATCATTACAATCATCAAATAAAACATGTGAAATATAATTGGAAAGCTTGTCAAAGCCAAGTACATATATATCCTCACTAACTGAAGCTAGGTTAACCAAAAAGGACCCAACTCGTGTTAAATTGTTAGTTGTTAGGAAGGAGAAGAATTGGTAAGAATCGATCTTCCAACTGGAGTGCATAAACATGATTGCTTTCCTTTAATACGACCCAAATAAATACGAGTCAAATTTGTTGATCAAGAAATTATGTCAGCCTGTATGCAACTTGAGTCAATTCTCCTTAGTATAAGTTAGATTAGTTTAAAGGGTAGTACTCTTCACATAATCACTTTTACTTTTCACGCATCCTATCAATTTTTGACCTTCTGATCGAATGAATTGATTAAGATCAATAAATAAAAATTAACAAAGATACGTGTTGCTCAAGGAAATTTGAATATTGCGCTCTAAAAATAAATAAGTAAAAAGATGTTCTGTCCAAAATCTCATTAATTAGCTAAAGCATTTATTTACTACACAGCCCGCTTAAACAACTTCGACCCCTTTCACCAGTTTCCTCTCCCTCCCTCCTCGGATCTCCGTCCCCTCCAATCCCCAATGGCGCCCATACAATTCCGTGCGCTCCTCATCGTCTCGGCGGTGCTGAGGGTGGTTTTAATCCTGTACGGAGAGTGGCAGGATGCCCACATGGAAGTGAGGTACACAGACATCGATTACATGGTCTTCTCGGACGCAGCTTCTCTAATGGTGTCTGGTAAATCCCCATTTCAGAGATCCACTTACAGATACTCTCCTCTGCTCGCCTTTCTGCTCCTACCCAATTCCATTCTCCATCGCCCTTGGGGCAAATTCATCTTCTCAGCTGCAGGTACTTTGTTTTTGTATTCGGAAATATGCGCAAATAGAACTAGTTACAGACTTCTAATGGAAAATAGAACTGCAGATACTAAACAGATATTAACCGGTTTCATTTGCGCATTTTGTGTAGATTTGCTTGTGGGTTTGTTTATAAGGATCATACTGAAGCTTCGCGGGGTGCCGGAGAATTGAGCATGATTTCTGTGATTGTTTGGCTCTTTAATCCGTTTACTTTTACGATTGGGACTCGAGGGAATTGTGAGCCAATTGTTTGTGCTTTGGTTCTTTGGGTCTTCATATGTCTTATGAACGGTGTAAGTTTCTTTCTTTGTCTGATATTTACTGCTACTAATTACTGTCAGTAATAAATGAGTCATATCTCTAGATTATCTTAAATACGAATCAAATCGAATGCTTTTTATGAAAGTGAAATTATGTACTTGTATAAACCTCAGCAGAGATTACAGAAAGTGAAGCATTATTGGATGTAAGGTTCTTTTACGTTTCTTTCTATCCGGTGAGAGTATCTTTTGTGTATCGCATTTATCAAACTAGCAATGCGCTTCTATTTCTCGTGTTTTCTGTAATGATGTTCGAGCTTCTCATGATTCATTCTCTTTGAGGTGACTCTGCTAGATACCTACAAACATGGCACTGTCTTTGTTGTTTTCCTTTTTATGATAATAGAATTATGATTTCAATATTCCCAAATGTTTCTCGGATTCAAAAAGATCCTGTGCATTTTGTGAGCATGATCTCTCTGTGAAAACCCAAGTAGGCATTGCATTCTGCTATAAGAAGCGTTAGTCAAACTAAATTTTTTGAATGGTTGTTATGGCTTCCGTCCATAACTGTTTTTTTCTTCATGACAGGACGTGTGTTACAAGCTGCATTTTGGTATGGGCTTGTTGTCCACTTCAGAATCTACCCCATTATTCACGCACTCCCCATCCTTATGATTCTGGATCCGCATGTGTTTCGACATGGTCAGAAGCCTAGACTTCAATATTGGAATCGTCGGTAAGATTCACCTCAAAGCAGTTCTGTTACAAGGCTCACTCAGCTTCTTTGCCCGTGGTTTCTTTGAAAAGTGCATTAACACGAGAAAGGATACTTTTCTCCTTTATATCAGCAGCCGTATTCTTCCTTTTCACTGGTTTATTCTATCATCTGTATGGGTGGGATTTCCTGTATGAAGCACTATTGTATCATCTTACCCGTACTGATCCAAGGCACAATTTTTCCGTTTACTTTTATCACATCTACCTTCAGTACCACCCTAAACTTAAAACTTTCGATATTGGAGAAACTCGTCTCATTTTTGCCTCAGTTGATAGTCCAGGTTGTTCTTGTTTTTAGTTTCGCCAAAGACCTTCCATTCTGCTGCTTAGTACAGACAGTGGCATTCGTGGCATTCAACAAGGTTTTTCTCTTTATTACTATTTTCTCATATATAAATTGCTGGATTAGTAAATGTTTAACGTACCTGATTACTTTCGATGTTGCATTCCTAGTGGTTATTCTCATCAAAAACCTCTGCTTCAATACTGGACTTTTCTCTTTTTTTCGCTAGCATGCAATAGTGTACTTTCGAACGTATGGTTTCTTACATAATTTTGTTTTCCCAACTAAATCGAAATTACTTCTGCTCATTGTTGACAGGTGATGACTGCACAATACTTTGTGTGGTTCTTTTGTCTCTTGCCGCTGGTTCTCGCTTGGAGCAACATGAAGCTTAAATGGAAAGGCCTATCGTGCATCGCATTGTGGGTAGGCTGTCAACTTCATTGGTTGTTTTGGGGTTATATGCTTGAGTTCAAAGGACAAAATGTCTTTCTTCAACTCTGGATTGCAAGCATCATATTCTTAGCTGCAAACACGTACGTCTTAGTTTCGCTCATCCGCGACCACATATTTTCTCCAGTTTTCGCACAGTTGGAGAAAACCTCCACATGAATAAAATAAAAAGTTATGATTATGAGGTCTGCATGTTCTAAGAAACACATTGCCATTAGATGCGAAATAACTCAAGTAAATAGTTGGAATATAAATTTTTCAACTAAAAATTGTAGGGTCTACCCAAAGAGTTGACCCTTCCAGAAATTCTCAAGGGCATTAGGCTGAACCCAAGCCCGAGAGGGGGTTTGGAAATAGTTTTCAACCAGCAATAGACGCGCCTCAGTTAGAACCTCATTAGCTGCGTCATTGCCCCAAGCGCAAAGATGTCTTGCATTACAGCCGTTGGCTCCCTTTTATGCTTCATGAGCAACTCTGCTTTCTCCACTTTGCCGGTGTGGGACGAGGATTTCTTGTTCTTTCTTAACAACACATCACACAATTCAATATTATTTTGCCAAAACAATCCAAATACTACAAGCCAGACGACAAAGTGAAAGTCGTACAATTAAATATTATTTTCCTTCTGTTTAAAGGATACCTAATGTCTGTAGAGGCGAAAAGCCAAGTACGTAATTAACTTGACAATTTCTACAATCCTGCAACAGAAAAATGAACAGAGGGACACAACAATTTGAAAATTCACTTCGATGAAATACTTGTTTGAGAATACAAGTCCGGCATCCTTAACATTTTATCCTCCAAAAATTTAAGGAAACGCTTGAATAACAGATTGGACTTATCGTCACTTCTTAAGGATACGAATGCACTCATTGTCACCCCAGTCATGAAGAACCCACTGCGTGTCACAAAAAAATTGATAATATCGCGCCCTTTTATCATAACGTGCGTATCTTGTTGTGAATGAAAACTTAGAGAAAGACAATAAACTTAAAGGAATAATGTATAGCCAAAGTTTAATTGCAGCATCAGCCCTTAGTTTTCTTGATTTCATATGTACCAACCATGATAATTGCAGCATCAGCATTTGGTATACGATCGAAAAAGTCACCTCCAACATTCTCAATGCGATCGCACTCTGGAGCAAGAGACAACATGAGGAAGATCAAAGTTAATGCCTCGAATCCAAGGACAGGCCTTGACTAGTAACCGCACCGTAGTCCCATTACCCCCACCTACGTCTACCATTGTCTCAATCCCTTTGTAACACCTCTGGACTGTTGGAAATTTGAGTAGTTTGAGTAGAAATTTCTTTGTCCCATATTGGCCATTCCCAAAAGATTTCATCACTTTATAAGGCTTTGTCCTTTATAAAAAATGATTGGAGTAGTAGACCTTGGAGAATACAATTGCGCTCACCTTTGGGGTGCACTAATTAATTGGTAATTAATATATATTTAATTATCAAAAGATGGGCTTTGAAAATTAAATTCTTTAATTAATTATTTTTAATTAATTTCGAATTTAATTAAATTATATTTTGAACAGACTCATATTTTCAGATGAAGTCAATGAAAAACGCAGAGAGCACAACACCTCATCTGAAGAGATGTCTCCCAACAGTCACACCTCATTCTCATACCTGTTGCGAACATGCATAATCACACTATATATAGATCCATCTGCATGGCATTTAGAACACAGAAAATATCAAATTCTTCTTCTACATTCCTAAACCTTCTTACTGAGAGAACCACACAGAAATTCGCCAGAAGTTAAGTTTTCCGATGCTGAAATTCTAACTTGATCGTTGAATCCTTGTGAAACAGAAGTCCGAAGAACTACAAGCACTGAGTAAGGGCGAAATTTCTGTTTCAAGGACATTGTGGTACGCAAGCCTCGATCTTCAAGTTATCTGTTTTATATTTTTGTTTTATTCATACTCTGTTAATTTTTCTATTCGCATTTATTATTTATTAGCATATATAATTATATCACCGATTGTTGACTTATATCCAACAATCTTGAAACAAAATTCATGGATCAACAATTTGTGAATGTGAATGGCCCTGCACCAAAATACTCTGAAAAGCCTTAGAAATTCAAAGGGCTGGACTTCAAGAGATGGCAACAGAAGATGTTGTTTTTCCTGACAACGATGAATCTCGCTTATGTTGTCAAGGAAGAAGCTCCAAAGTCTAATGAGAATCTAATGACGAAAGAGACTGTCATGGCAATTGAAACTTGGAATCATTCCGAGTTTTGTTGTAGGAATTATATTCTGAATAGTTTGGATGACAATCTCTACGACATTTATTCTCTATGCAAGACAGCAAAGGAGTTGTGGGAATCCCTGAAGAAAAAGTATAAGATTGATGATGCCGGTTCAAAGAAATTTGTTATCGATAAGTTTCTCAAATATACAATGGTGGATTCAAAATCTGTTGTCTCTCAGGTCGAAGAAATCCTGAAATTGATCTATGAACTACACTCCGAGGGATGCGAGATCAATGAGCATTTCCAAGTTGGGGCGATAATCGAAAAGTTGCCAACTTCCTGGAATGACTTCAAAATTTTTCTGAAGCACAAGCGTCGTGAGATGAATATGGAGGATTTGATCATGAGGCTACAAGTGGAAGAAGACCACAGAAAGGCAAACCATTCTGGAGGGTTTGCTACCATTGAAGCCAATGCAAATTATGTTGAGGGAGGAAACTCCAAGGCCAAGCCGAAGAAGAATAAGGCTCCGAAAACCAAGCAGTTTGTACAATCTGCCCTTACTCCCAAAGGCAAGAATCTGAAGAAGATTAAGGGCGCATGCTATGTGTGTGGCAAATCTAGTCACAAGGCACAAGATTGTTATCATCGTAAGGATGGAAATCATGCCAACAGAAACAACAACAACCATGCTAACATGGCAACCACCAATGAAGAATTGGCTGCTGATGTGTCCAAGGTCAACATGGTCTCAAATGTGAGTGAATGACTGTTAGATACTAGTGCTACTAAGCACATCTGCTCTAACAGAAATCTATTCACTAAATACCATCCTGTTGCCCATGGAGAAAAGTTGTATATGGGCAATTCTGCCTCATCAGCGGTGGAAGGCAAGGCAAAGTGGTACTCAAATTCACATCTGGAAAGAGTCTCACCTTACTGAATGTGCTGTATGTTCATGAAATAAGGAAGAACTTGGTTTCTGGACCTATTCTGATTGTTTATAGAAGGTGATTGGAGTAATAGGCCTTGGAGAATACAATTGGGCTCACCCTTGGGGTTGGGCTTTGGGGTGCACTAATTAATTGGTAATTAATATATAATTACTATATATTTAATTATCAAAAGATGGGCTCTGAAAATTAAATTCTTTAATTAATTATTTTTAATTAATTTCGAATTTAATTAAATTATTTTTTTAACAGACTCAATTTTTAAGATGAAGTCTGAAGTCAATGAAAAACGCAAAGAACACAGCACCCCATCTGAAGAGATGTCTCCCAACAGTCACATCCCATTCTCATACCTGTTGCGAACATGCATAATCACAATATATATACATCCATTTGTATGGCATTTAGAACACAGAAAATATCAAATTCTTCTTCTACATTCCTAAACCTTCTTACTGAGAGAACCACATAGAAATTTGCCAGAAGTTAAGTTTTCCGGTGCTGGAATTCTAACTTGATCGTTGAATCCTGGTGAAACAGAAGTCCGGAGAACTACAAGCACTAAGTAAGGGCGAAATTTCTATTTCAAGGACATTGCGGTACGCAAGCCTCGATCTTCAAGTTGTCTGTTTTATATTTTTGTTTTGTTCATACTCTGTTAATTTTTCTATTCGCATTTATTATTTATTAGCATATATAATTATATCACAGATTGTTGACTTATATCCAACATGGACAACTTTCAATCACTGCAAGCACATCCATCTTTGCACCACAGGTCATTGCATCATCGAAAAGTTTGCCGTGATCAAGATTGGCAAGCAAAAGCTCCATATTGTTAGAACCGAGAAAGAACACTTGATAAAACTCGTGATAAAAGTCTAAATTGTACTCAATAGTTGGGAGAATTTCCATTATTGAATTCAAGAATACGAATTGTTTGTACCATACTTAACCAATCCCGAAACTACTGAGCACCAGTCAACGTTATATCGTCAAGGACCCATAAGAGTTTCCCTCCAACCAGGAGGCCAATCATAGTGCAACACGTGTCGACATCAGAAGCCAATCATAGCGCAACACGTGTCAACATTATAAGCCAATCACAACATGACACGTGTCAATGTCAGAACAAAGATAGAAACTATCTTCTATAAAAGGAGATCATTCTCCCACAATATTTCCTAATGTCATTTGTACTAAATCATTCACTAGTACTCACAAAAGGAGAGCTTGAACCTATGTACTTGTGTAAACCCTTCACAATTAATGAGAACTCCTCTACTTCGTGGATGTAGCAAATCTGGGTGAACCACGTACATCTTGTGTTTGCTTCCCTGTCTCTATCCATTTACATACTTATCCACACTAGTGACCAGAGCACTCTAACAAAGGTCACAAACTTAACATTTGCTGTTGTACCAAAGTCCTCACTGATTTTATGCATCAACATTTGGCGCCGTCTGTGGGAATTGCACTTATTCCTACTTTTTTCAGCTTTGTCAAGCTGGTTTCCACCATTCGTACACTCTATTTTGACCAGGCATCCCTATCCAACATGGGGAGCGAAGGAAGCCACAACACATAGAACGACACCCCCTCGCACCTAGTGCAAAGCAACGAAAGAAGGAACAAAAAAAGTTTGCTCTTCAGGCTAAAGTCGATGAGCTAGAGGCTCAGAACAACAAGATATCGATGAAGAATGAGATCCTCCAAGAGTAGTATGAGAAGGTCTTCGAAATGCTCCACGAGGCTAAATATACTAAAACACACAAGCTTATCACCCTTGTGGAAGTTAAACATCAACTGGGTGCCCCCCAACACGGAGGGTCATTTGCCCTCGACATGGGTATTCCTGTTGAGGAGCGAGCTACTCATCGAAATGGCAACCAACATGAGACTTCTCTCAACCCAGCTGCTTCGACCCGAAACAGGAGGAGTGGAGGAAGACACCTTTTTACAAAAGGAGTGGAAGGATTGAAAGCTGTTTTTCGCGACTGTCAAGACTTCCTAAAGCAACGTTAAGACAATCTTATCCATGTAAGCTCGAAGATCAATGACCCAAGGGTTTCTAGAAGACTTGGTCCCCTCCTATGTCCCAGGCTGGCTACCAATTTAAGGAAGGGGCAACAAGTCTTAGAGAAACACGAAGGTATAGGGGACTCAGAGATGTTCCGACAGACATACCTTGGAAGTCAGTACGACGAGTCCAGGGAAAAATCACATGCTCTTGATCAAACCTTCCTACTTCCAAGAG